CCTGATGAAAGTGTTACTGGATCTTAAATGCTGGAGATCAGTATAGTAGAAATAGCCGTTGTATTAAACATACATTGGCTGAAAGGAGTTAAAAGCACGTCTGTCAGAGTTCTAATATCAATCAAATCATTAACACTACAGTTGTTAATGTCTTCTTTATACATTTTGTAAGAACAAGCCCTAATAGGAACATAATTTATATAACACAACTCATATACCTGAAATTAAAATGTGGTCCTTAATCTTACTGGTTTTTTTATTGTAAATACTATGTAAATTTAGACTGTGAGGTGTTTTTTTTTTTTTTTTTTGGGGAGGCCTAAATTATATCAGAATTCTGAATACTAATTGTCACGTGAAGCTACTGAAATTACAATTGCAAGCAAAAGTCAACTTCCTGGGTGTGCAATTCTGTTATGGAAAAGAGGGGTGGAAATATAGTTCATGCTGATCCAGTCCTTGCACTTTCATTCCAAAGCTGTCAATTCTAAATCAGCTTTGTTTTGACTGGCAAAATCACAGCCACCTTTTAGCATACCAGGAAGAAGAACATTTCTTAAGTTTATGTATTGTAGTGACTGATTCAATAATTTGAGGTGGTGTTGATTATTTTAAAATAATAATAAATAAAAAAAACCAACAAAAAAAACCCAAACAAAAATAACCCCAAGGGAGCTTGGCAGTAAGGTATACACATAGTTCAGTGCTAGCCACTGCATTAGCGTTTGTTTTGGACAAATGAAAAAAAAACACCTCGAAATCTATTAGGAAATAAGTAAAATAATAAAAAGCAGTAGAAAACAAAAGACAAAAACAGTATAAAAAATACTGCAAAGTGCTAATTAGCACTGCTGAGAGTAAAGCTACTTCCTCTGTAGTCAGTGGAGTACACCCAAACCCCAGGGCCCATGCTCCTCATATATAAGGAGTTAGGTCTGTCATTTAATCTTTATATGGAAACCAAAGTACAGTTAAACATGTTGTTGGGACAGAGCTGATGGAAGGAAAGATCAGGACGCTGGGAAGCACCTGTGTGTCCTGTTTCACCATAGCCAAATCAAGATTAGCCAACAAGAAGTTCTGCCTGTTTTGTCTGTAAAAGGAGCTTTTGGAGTAGGAAAAACCACTGCAGATGCTTGTGATGCAGGTGTTCCTGCAGGGCAGCATCTTGCAGAGGCTCACTTAATGAAACCCTGCTTCATTCACCAAGTTTGGTGTTGAAGAGTTACAGTTAGCCCTGAGTGGTGTGAAAGGAGACTGAATTGAATTTCAGTCTTGTTCTCCATTCTGATCCCAGTGTCTGTTTGACCCTGAGAAATTTTAGGCCTTAATTACTTTCTTTCCTTTTTTCACTAATAAAATGGGGCCTCTCTAGCCATCACAGGGATGTCTCAAATGAAAAGATGCATTTCACTCAACAAGTAAAATTTACTTATTATTTATTCATCTAGTAACAGTAATAATCAGCTACAGAGCATTAAAATAAAGTAAGAACTGCAGCATTCCTTCCCTGTGAGAGGAATGCCTTGGAGGTGACCTGTTGACCTGAAGTGCTGCTTAAAAGCTTTAAAAGCCAATATAAAATTTGTTAAAAGATAGTGTGAATAATGTCACTTTGGAGACAAGTTACTGATAAACATTCCTGTTTGATAAAGCTGGACCCAGGGGTTAAAGTTCTTCTGTGACTGTTATTAGAGGACTGGTAATTGGTTAATGACATCATGTTTTGCTCATTTGAGCAAGAGGTAGATTGTTGGATACCACGTAGAGGGACTAAAGCTCAATTGTTTGCCCTGACATGCTTGAAAACTCCCTGTAAGGTGCAGACTGCACTTCAGATTCACTAACTAGAAGGCTTTTTCATGTTTAAACATAAAGAAAGGGGGCGAAGTTGTAATTAAACCCATTAATTTTGCAGTGTGGGGAGTAGAGGCATTTGAGAAGACCCATCTCTGCAAGTTTCTACATTATGGCATACTTGGGTTTTTGTGAGGCACCTGTCTCCTCAGGGTATCACCTGCTTCCCTGCAGCAGTGTGGCCGTGCACTGGGAATGCCAGCAGCCAGAGTGGGAAGGGGCTCCTGGGGAAAGAGCACAGGGTCTTCATCTGAAGTCCTCTCAGCTGTAAGGTGGAAACTGTCATCAGTAGCATGCTCACCTTAGATTTCACCAGGTCTGAAGGTAAAATAACCTTTTCCTGCCTTGTGCAACCACAGGGCTCACAAAGTTTCTGCAGTCAGGGCAGAGTGAGGTGACTCAAGCGGGGTTTGCCCGAGGGTATGTGTTGAGTTGGTGCTATCTCACATCCTGCCTTGCTGCTGCTGCCTGGTCTGCGCTGCTGGAAGCCAGCTGGGTGACAGCACCCCAGTGATCTCGACACATTTTCAACCACAGTGTCAAGTAGCTTTTGTGAAAGCCAAAAAAGATGTGTTGGACTTGCTGTGTCTTGCTAGTCAGTCACTGTAAGTAGATATTTCTACACAAAGAATATGCTCTTGCTAACTGGAGTTCATCGAACTGATGGAAAGCAGCAGTCGGTTTCATACATTCCTGTAGGGCCAAGTTCTGCATGCCAGTCAACTAACTGAACTGATTGTTGTCAGTAAATGTGGACATCTTGTACTGCCAGTTTTCTACTCTTTCCTGTTTTGCTCCCAACCTCTGTGGTGGTGCTGCCCTGGCTTTTCTTAATGCTTGTTCTGGCTCTGCTTGTGATTCTCTGCAGAGCTGACTTAAATCTGCTTGTGAATTTTCTGTTAACTTTCTGCTTGTTTAGTGCATCAGACTGACTCATGTGGAGGTGGACTGATTGTCAAGGCTGGCAAGTGGAAATGCTGCAAAAGCAGGCAGGTTCCTTCCATAGGTAGCAAGCTGCTGTGTCCCATCACCTTATCAAATTAAATCACACTCTGTGTAGTGAAAATTGGAGATGGGTTGAGGGAGGACCCAGAGCTGCTGCTGGTCTCAGATGTAACTTTTGCTTGTTTCTTGATCTCTCATTGCAGTTTATCAATCTCTTTTCCTGGTGCTTCATTAAAAACAGTACTTTCCCAGTCATTAATACCTAAAATGTGAAATGCATGAAGCAGGGTTCATTCTTGGTCAAGGAATTAAGAGATGTTTCAGTAATAAAATAGTGACTGCTCTGGGAAAGAAACTTGGATTCTTCAGAGCATAGTGGAACACTGGTGGGAATAATAAAAAGGAAGAGGTGAAGTGGTCAGAGGAATGAGAAATGGAGATCTTGTATCTCTGCATTTCCAGCAAAGGCAGCACTGAACGAAACAAGTGATAAGTGTCTGCACTCCTTAACACACAGGGAAAGAAAGATGATGCAAACCAGCCCAAGACCTGATCTGGTTGAGAAGTGATGGAGAAATAATGATGCAGTTATGAGTCAGTAACTGGTGTTCTTCCTTTATGGGTGGAACAGCTCTAGTGTTGCCAAAACAATAATTAAACAATTACACAATGTGGGAAATTGTAAATCTCAAGTCAGTCTCATCTTCTTGCTGTGAAGTTTTAGTTAATGCACTTCAGAAGAAAAGTGTGGGTTTTTTTTTTTTAGAAATAAGGCTAAATGTAGAAAGTCTTAATGCTAGTTTTAATTCTAGTAAATCTAGTTTTACTAGACCTTTTCTTACTGTCTTATCTGGGGATGCAGCTTGCTTTAAATGCATGCTGATCTCCTGTTTGTTATTGTAGCTGCAGATTTGTCACCTGTACCATCATATTTTAATATGGCAGGGGAGGTTGTGGAAGCTCCCTCTTTGGAAGTGTTCAAGGCCAGGTTGGATGAGGCTTTGAGTAACCTGGTCTAGTGGGAGGTGTCCCTGCCCATGCAGGGGGGCTGGAGGTTTGATCTTTAAGGTCCCTTCCAACCCAAACGATTCTATGATTCTGTGTACAATGTTGAGCTGATTCATTTTACTGCTGTTTTTTGGGAGAACATTTGGAGGAAAATGCTGAATGTGTTGTTTTGCCCGCTTTGCTCCTGGACACTCCTTTCCCCCTGAGGAGGCAGATACTCGCCAATCAAATGTTATTCTGTTGCTTCTGGAGCTCTGATGCTGGACTGCTGGAAGGCAGCATTGTGCTGAAGGATGGCTCCTGCTTAAAGGCAATGAAAAACCAGAAGCCAACAACTTTATGCTTTCAAAATTAATTATAAATATGGTACCAAAATATTTTCCCCTGCAGTCTTGCTTTCTCAGCATAACACTACTCTGTAAGTAACACACAAGCAGCAAAAGCCTGAGATTTTGGTTTTGCAAGGCTGCTGTTTATTACTAACATCAGCAGTAGTACCAGTTTTGCTTCAGCCAGAACATTCTCCATTCCACTTACATCCTCCCTGCATCACTGTCCTACCTCACACTCATAGTAGCTTCAGACTCACTCCAGCTGCCTTGCCTAAACTGACCTGGAGTGAACATTTTTTGGTTTTTGTTTTTGGGCATGAGAACAAAGAATTAATCCAGAGTGATTGTAACTCTTACTAGGAGTGGCACTGGAATATGACACTGCAGAGATCAAAATAATCCCCAGTGCAGTTAGATGAGTTATGACTGTGCTTTGTGTAATATAATATGTAAAATACTGGGTAGATTTTGTAGCAGGTGTGGATTGTTTCTAGGTACAGCAGTAACTTTCAGTTGCCAATGGGTCCTTTGTTTTACTTGGCTTCTTTTGGAAATATGACCTTTTGTATATTTTTTGTATTTGCTGCTCTTTTCAGGAATGGCCATGTAATAGCAAGTACATATATATGTCCAGTGGGCTGCTAGTGAAACAGAACAAGTGTCTGGTGTATTTAATAGTTAAAAATAGTCAGTTAAATAGTTAAGATTTATCTGGCAAGATATGAGTGTTCTGAAGATTTTGCAGTATTCATTTTCTGTTTAGGACCATATTTTGGGGGTTGTATCTAGAGAAGAAGGAACAAAATCCAGCCAGTGTGTTTGTCTGTTCTCAGTAAAATGTACCTGTCGTTTCTCTAGGGGTCACCTGTGTTTGATCTTATCAAGCTGTCAAAGGAGCGAGAAGGCCAGACTGATCAGCCTGAGCCCACTTCCACCCTCAATCTGCCTCTCCAGCACAACCACACTGCAGCAGACCTGTAAGTGACACTTGGGCCTTAGGTCTAGTAAAATGTGAAGTTAATATTGCCCTTAACATTTACATCTACTTGTACTCTCTTTTCCTACTTGTTAGGCTTGGTACTTTGGCTATGTTGAACTGTTGAATTTGCTGCTGCTTCTCAAACATGTAAATTTAGCTAAGTCAAATGGTTGTCTTACTTGCCTAGGAATAAGTAAGTCCCTTGATCAGGTATTTAAACAATAATATGAATTTTTAATTCCTGATATGGGAATAACAGATTACATTAGCAATTGAATTCTTCTAAGGGGGGAGAGGGAAGAGTTCCTGGAAGTATTATTCATATAAAAATGTTCCTTTATCTTGTGATGTTAAGTGCTTAATATATGTTGAATCTCCAGGTATCTTTCTCCTGTGAGATCTCCTAAGAAGAAAGCATCTGGCCCTTCGCCAAGTGCTACTTCCACTCCAGATGCTCAGCCAACACAGACTCCCCCAACACAGAAACCACAGAAATCTACCTCCCTCTCTCTGTTCTACAAAAAAGGTTTGTTGCTTCTTTATGTGCAAAAATTGCAAAGTTATCCCATGTTATTTATCCTTTTTGAGTTTCGGAGCTCAACATTTTTTAAAAGATTATGAGAGAATCTGTAGCAAACACTGTGCAAACAAAGCCTCAGCTGCCTCTGGGAGGAACAGTAAAACAGTGCCAGCAGGTGAACACAGGCACCCCACACACCACAAGTTCAAACTGAGAACTTATCTACTGACTGTAGATCTATCATAGCATCCTTTTTGCAACAGTGGCAATAAATAGATGCCGTGGGAAGCTTAAGAATTGGGCAAACATGTGCAGTGCCACTTTCCTTTAAATGTTTTCCCGAGCTTTGATGTTCAGCTCTGGGGTTTTCCTGAGCCTTTTGCAATGTGTCCACTCAGTAACTATCAATAGTTTTGTGTTCCAAATGCTTGTTCAGACTCCTTTTGAGTCGACTCGCAGATGTACGTGTGCAGCATGGTTTGGTTTGGATTTCTGTCTGTCCATTGCCTGTTGCATGAAGAATCTTTTCCATTTGTATTTTGAACCTGGCTTCTACTACCTTCGCTTGGTGGCTTGTGGTTCTTGCAGTGGGAGACAGTGAATGATCAATTGCTGTCCATCTTCCATCATGCTTTTTTTATCTTGAATTCCCCTGGTATTGCCATTTCATTTTATTTTTCTTCTCTCTCAAGTGTACATACTGGCCTATCTTCGACTCCGTACCCTCTTCTCTCGGCTTCTCTCTGATCATCCTGCCCTGGAACCCTTGATCTGGACCCTCTTCCAGCACACACTGCAAAATGAGTATGAACTTATGAGAGACAGGCACTTGGACCAGGTAAAAAAGCAGAATAGACTCTCCTAAAAAACATGTTCCTTATACATTCTTTAGTCATTAGAAATTATTATCTGGGTATTTATTTCTCTCTCGATCACTCGAAGGAGAAATTAATTTAGAGTGAAGTCTATCATGTCAGGTTTTTTAAAGTACTGGCAGTTACTTATTTGGGATCTTTCAAATACCATTTACTGCTATTTTCAAAATAATGAAGGCATGGTAACTTTTCTAATGACTTGCATAAGAAAATACTGATATTCTATGGGAAGACAACATGTGTGGTTGGTAAGTGTTTTGTTATTCTACTCTAAAATTGCAGCATGTGAATTATTGAGAAATTTGAGAAGATATTATCAGCTCCAGTTAGTTGTCCTACAGAAATACAGGGAACAGTAACTGACTTATATTCTGGAAATTCTTACGAAGCTGAATTTCATCCTAGTTTACAGAGCAAAATGAATAATGGAAAGCTTATCAATTAGTTTCTTAATTTGAAATGAAGAAGCTGAATTGATTTTCCACATTTACAGTTGACTTGTCTTGTTTCTTTAATAGATCATGATGTGTTGCATGTATGGCATATGCAAAGTAAAGAATATAGATCTCAGATTTAAAACAATAGTTTCGGCATACAAGGAGCTTCCCAACACAAATCAAGAGGTATGGAAATTCTTTAATGTTATACCTTCATTAAAATGTTATAAACTAGTTGTTTCTCTCTGTGTAAAACAAAACCAAAAGGAAAACTGCTTCAGTGCATCTCCATTTTGTGGAGGAGAAAGCTGGCTCTAAGACTCTCACAAATATGTCTCTCACAAATAGTTTGATAACTCTTCTCAGAAAGCAGATTCCATTAATTCTTTCTTACTTAAATATGCTAAATAATGGCCAACGATTGCATTTAGAGACTTTACGAAAGATTCAGATGTCCTGCTAATTGGATTTTCAAAAGTAACCCAAGTTCTTCTAAAAGTTACTTCACTTCCATTGAGCAGAAGACAAGCAGATAACTTTCTTTAGAAACTTTTGTAGAAATATAGTTATAAATCAAACAGGTCTGTATGTATTAAAGTTGCAGGCTTAATTCTAATATTAAGAATTTTATTTGTAAGGGCCTTAGTGTACTGATTTTTTTGCACAAAAGGATAATTAAATCAATAGAAAATCAAACAAACAATCAAAAAATTACTTGAGCTGCAGGCATCCTTTCAGAAGCAGCATTTCTCATAGTGTATTTGTGTGTCATGGTTAAACTCCAGATTTTTGTCTCCAAGCCTAGGAAACTATTTTATCCACATCAGGTCAGTAGTTACTTTTTTAGCCTTGCAAGGCATGCACAGTAGTGAAGCCTTTTTTTGACAGTGTCTGTGAGAGCAGATGGAGCTTAAATTTGAAAGATGTTATAGTAGCGATGATGCCATTTTAGCTCATATCTAACACAAATGTACAATCGTAACCCCTTTTTTGTTTTGTTTTGTTTAAATTTATTAGTTTACTGTTTGTGGTTTTCTCACCCTGTGTAGACTTTCAAACGTGTTCTTATCAGGGAAGAGCAGTATGACTCCATTATAGTCTTCTACAACCTAGTGTTTATGCAGAAGCTGAAAACAAACATTTTACAGTATGCCTCCAACAGGGTAAGTGGTTCCTTGTGTTCAGCATGCAGTATTTAATAGAATAGGAATATATAGACAATAAAACCTTATGATTGCTTTTTTATTTTTACAGCCTCCCACTCTGTCCCCCATCCCACACATTCCTCGCAGCCCCTACCAGTTTTCCAACTCTCCTCGGCGTGTCCCTGCTGGCAACAACATCTACATCTCACCCTTGAACAGCCCGTACAAGTTCTCCGATGGGTTTCAGTCACCAACAAAGATGACTCCAAGGTCCAGGTGGGTGGTTCACAGGGATTTCTTTGACCAAAGTGAAGGTATTTGAGGGATTTTAGTGGAAGTAAATTAGAAAACCGCACAGTCTAGTTTGTCAGTAGTCTGGTTACTTGATCTTTTCTGGTGGAAAGTAAATTTGTGTCCTGTATTTGAAGTCTTTATTCATCTTTGAGTGCTTTTCTGTTTCAGTTTAGTCAAGTGTGATCAAGGAATTTGGAGTGGGTTTTGTTTTGTTTTTGTGTTTTGGGGGTTTTTTTGTTGTTTAATATTCACATCCAAGAGGTATTTTCTGACCTAATTGCTTAAATGTTCTTAGCTTTGATTCTGGATCACACTCCTGAAGAACAGATAGGAGCTTTGTAGGCTTGTTGAAAGAGAAAATACTTTTTTGGAACAAAAGGGTCCAGAGTATTTGACTGAGCAGGATATTTCGAACTGTTGGTCACCAGGTCACCACCTTTAGCAGACAAAGATGACAGCAAATGTGCAAGTCCCCAGTGGGCTTTTTCAAATGAGGACCAAGTGAGTCACATTGTACCTGGCCCACTGTGTACAAAGGTTAAAATATTATTGTGTATTTCAGCTTGAAGTCCTGCAGGATTTAGATTAACAAACACCTAAAGGTTACAATGAAAGGATGATTATCTGGGTGAAGTGTATGCCTGCTGATAAGGGACAGACTGTGGGGGCATCTGATCATTTCAAGCCAGAGTTTCTGTTCTGTCTGGGTGGTGCAGGTTGGTTTGGCTCAGCAGCCACTGGCCCAGATGGAAACATGAGGGGTCTCACCACAGTGAAATGCATCCGGGGTTTGTGCTGATAACTCAGAGAGAGGAAGAGACTTTGCTATTGTCTTTATGCTAGGCTGTGCAAATTAGTGGATATAATTGGTGTTAAATATAGCTTAATCTTAATGTTAAATATAGCTTAATCTGAAACACTTCTTTGTTTGGCAGGATTTTGGTGTCGATTGGCGAATCATTTGGGGTGAGTTCTAACATTTGTAATGTCTGGCTTTGAATGCATGTAACTTGTGGAGGAATGGGAGAGCTTGCTGACCCCTGTGAAACTGGCCAGTGAGTGTCTCTCATTTAATTGTAGTGTATTAATGGCATTTATGAGCACAAACACAACTCCTTTCAGATATCCAGACTTTATTTTAAAAATGTTCTGCATTTTATTTCAGTTGCTTTGAATGAAGATAAAACTCGAGAGTAAACTTAAGATGAAACTGCGGAGTTTTAGCACACCTGATCTTTTTAATGGATAATCTGGAAAGTTTCAGTGTTTTCAATTCTTAAACTTGTCATTACAGACTTCTGAGAAGTTTCAAAAAATCAACCAGATGGTGTGCAGCAGTGACTGCCAGCTGAAGCGCAGCGCAGAGGGAAGTGCTGCTCCGAAGCCGCTGAAGAGGCTGCGCTTCGACATAGAAGGGCAAGACGAAGCAGATGGAAGGTGAGAGATTGATCTGGGCTTTTTCAGTAAACTTGCATAGATTCGGTTCTCAGGGACTTTCCATCCTCACTTCTTCCTGTCGTCCTGACTTCTGTTAATTTGTGAACTTTGGTAAATGTGTTAAATGAGAGATGCTAGCGTAATACTTCTTAATTAGATGCTTAGATGTCAGAAGGAAGGATTTATTCAGTGCCTGTCCACCCAGCATCCCAGTGTTCCTGCTGAGTGCCAACCTCTGCTGTCATCTTTAGTCAGTCTTTAAAAAAAACATTCCAGATTTTTTAGATGTATGAGAAATCAAGCAACTCTTCCTTGTGAATAAAAGAGTTGGTATCTTTGTAAGAGAAGGCACTAGCACTGAAATGAACTAGCCTTGATTTACAGTTACATTTACTGGGATAAAAAGCTAGATTTGTTTTTTTTTTTAATTTCTGCTTAATCAAATGCTTTCTGTCTACAGCAAACACCTACCCCAGGAGTCCAAGTTCCAGCAAAAGCTTGCAGAGATGAGTGAGTATCTATTTTTTTTCGTGAACTGTGCTGCCATGAGTGCCTTGGATGAAACAGTTTGTGGCCACTCAGATAAAAACATTGCTCAACACTGATGTCATTTCAGTGACTTGTTTAGTGTTTTGTACTTGTTCCAATTAATCTTGAAAATGCAGATTATAAAATGGAAATCCTCAAAAGCCTTTTTTAGGATATTAAATGGCACAGCAGCTTAGGTGTGATATGACATGGGAATAAGAAAATGAGCATGACACATTCTTCCTAAACACTAGAATTCTTGACGTGGAATTAAACATTTGCCAAGGCTTTGATCTCAGTTGAGAGATTGCAGGTAGAAATATGTAGTAATTGCAGCATTTTGTTGACCAGAACACCAAGTTAGGTGATTACAGTATAGTAAAGGAAAATTATATACATAGCAAAAGTGTGTGCAGTTTTGCATGTCACTTTTATAGTAAAATGCCCGAGACTGCTTTTTTTTTTCTACCGCGGATCAGCGTTTCTTTCAAATTTTGTGGGATCACTTTTCTGTTTTTCAAATAAAATCCAAATCTAGCTCATGAAAAGCAAAACATTCTAGTTCCCACATTTTGGGGAGTTTGTATTTTCCACTCCTGAGAAGGAACATGCTTGGTGTGACTGGACATTCTCTTTAGTGGAATCTGAGCTCTGCAGCAGAGCAGATTTGCCCGTTATGAATTCTGACTTAGCAAGTGTTTGTAGGCCAAGGCACCTCTCGTTTATTTTAGAATAGGGGAGATGTTTCAATGTTTACATGTTGTGGAGGTTAAGAAGGGACACAACTTCACGTGCAGTTGTGTTAGTGTGTCACTGTGGGGGAAAGGCCTGTGCTGGGCAGGCTGGCAGTGGATGTGGGCGCTGCTCAGCCGGAGCATCTGCCTGGCAGCGACAGGAGATCCCTGCGCAGTGCTGCCCATCTGCCCTCCTGAGGGTGAAAACACACCAAGGGAGGGCACAGAGGCAATGAAGCCTGAGTGAACTGGGGCATTGAATTCCTTCAGAGGTGTGACCTTGAGCAGGAGTTGCTGAAGCATCTCAGAATTAGGCGTTTCTTTTAAAAATTAGGGAGTTGGTTTATTTGGAATAGTGTACTTCTGTTCCTTGGGTCATAACAAATTTTTACAATAAATAATCACATCCAAGAGAAAGGATTTAAAGTCTTTTTTTTTGTTTGTTTTTGTTGTTTTCTGTTGTTTTGTTTTGTTTTAGCATCTACTCGAACAAGAATGCAAAAGCAGAAGCTGAATGATGGAAATGATACCTCAGCCAGTGAAGAAAAGTGAGATTCTTCTCAGGACCAGGGGCTGCCTGGCAGGCCCTCTTAGTTTGTTTTTGTTTTGCAGCCTTCATTAACTGAGTTGCTTCTTTAGTTGCTTTTTATTCTGAACTGCTAGTTGAAAGCATTTGGACTTTTAAACATTTTTACACTTCTTTTTGTTGTACTTTGCCTTATGATATAGCATATATGCCATGTAAGCCACTGAATTTAATTTATATATATATTTTTTGAGGATTTTAAAAACAGTCTTGGAAGGCATCTTAGTTTCATGTCGTGACCTTACTGATCTAAGCCAATTCAGTCTACTTGGATTGAATTTTTCTGTCTAAAGACAAAATGTTAGCTAGACTGATTTGAAATGCACTAATTTTGTTTTTTAGATTTCATTTTTAGATTTTCATTACTGGCAAATTTTTAAAAATGAGAGGCCAGATACTGCAAAGATTTTTCTCTCTGTATATAATTAGCACAACAAATTCCCATTAAATGAAACTGCACAGCAGTTACTGACCTTGCAGGGCCTCACATCAGAAGTACAACCTGATTTCAGAGAGAACTCATTATGTAGCCATACTACTGAAACCAAGACTTCATGTTTTGTAGTTCTCCTTCCTCAGCTTTCGCCCCAGAGGGCAGTGACACTGCTCATCAGTTTAAATTTCATGGAGGATGAATCTCAAAGAGGTTCCTTCTAGAATCCCTCAGAGAATCTTCCCAGAAGCTGAAGCTTCTTCCCATATGCAGAATACTTGATGTGCACTTTCTTCTCTTGGAAATTTTCAGTTATTATATTAAAAAAAAAAACAAACAACAACAAAACCTCCAAACATAAATCCCACCTGTTACACATAAGATTTCAAAATTCTAATGATGTAGAATTTTCTTGATTTCTTCAGGTTTTCACCGAGCTGCAGCCAAACAGCTTGAAAAAGAGGCACCAAACCTCTTTCCTAGCTGAAAGCCAAGTGTCTCCAATTGGGTTCCAGGCAGGAGGCAGCCTGGTCTCTAAAAGCACAGGGCATCACCCACTGGCCTTACTGCAGCATCTGCACAAAAGCCCAACTTGATGGGCCCACCTTGGGAAAATGAGTCTGCCTTATTTGACCAAAAAGGCAGAGGTCAACAGGCAACTTGTAAACTGTTAAAACTAGCAAAAAAAAAAAGAATACCCAAAACTTTGTTCAGCTTTCGTGTTTGTAAGTTAGTGATTCAGGTACTGGAATGTTGCTTTTAATGATAAAGGATTTGCAAAATAGCCAGTTATGGAAAGCACATGTTTTACTTCCAGAGAATTAAAATGTAGGTAAATAAATGAAATCCTGCTTTAAAATGGCCCGTTTTAATGAAATTTAGCTTTCACAGCTACTTAAATTAAAAGTGACAGTGGAAAAGCATGCTGTTCTGTACACAAACATTTTAAAGCGACATCTTCTCTGGGTAGCTTATTTAGAAATTGTTTAGCTGAACCTCGAGTACCTACACTAGTACATTTTAAAGATCAGTTCTTGTGTTGAATGGAAGTTAATCCTACTAAAAACTCTACAAGCAGCACACTGATTGGTCAGCGGATTTTAAAATAAAATTGAGTTATTTTTTTAGTCTCAGTATGGCTTTAACTTTCTTCCTGAAAAATGTACAGAAGTGTCCTTATGTTTATTTTCTCACTTTTTGCAGTTTTACAGACTGAATGTATGTTACCATTGGGGTGCACTGACCGTAAGGTTTGTTACAGCTGTTGAAGTTTTTCCATGATCCTTTGGCCTTTGGGGTGACATAAGAGGGTCCAGTACCTACACAGATGTATTATGTCTTTTCTGTGACAATGTCTTTTTTTGTTCAAACAGACTGAAGGCTTTACATCAAATGTATGATAATATTTTATACAACTCATCAGTTTCTCTCCTTTCCAGATAAATAAAACAGCTTTTAAAAGATTTATAGTTGATCATTTTATTTTACTAGAGAAGGTGACTCCATATGCTAACAATGTGTTGCACTTCCACCATGATTCTGCCACTGCTGCAGAGGTAGCTCCACCTCCAGTGATTCCTACTGGTGCAGAGGTCGAAATGGTTGCACTGTTGAGTTCTGAAGTTTCCATAGGATGTTCTTGGAAATGCTGTTCTCACCAGAGATTTGTTTCAGGGTCACTGTTGGTCTCACTCCTGCAGATGCCTGTATCGCAGTCTGGTCACTGTCACAGCCCTCGCACAGTCCTTGTGAGAAGCCAGTGCCCACCTTGAGAAGTGTTCCCAACGTTGTGGTGTTGGATGTGGTGTTGGTGGATATGGTTTAGGGAGGAGCTTCGTAGATTAGGGATGATGGTTGGACTCGGTGATCCCAAGGGTCTTTTCCAACCCGAATGGTTCTGTGATTCTGTGATTTCACTGCCCTACTGTTCGTAATTGATTCTTTCTTTTGGAGCTGCTGAGAAGAGCTCAGGATGTCAACACTCCAGTGCAAGGCACCATGGCTCCCTGGGCCAGGTGTCTGCCTGTGGGCAGCTCAGCCTTATGGGCTCCCTGTTGTTGATTTATTTGAGTTCATAGGTGCCTATGACTCAGCTCTGCTGACTTGACAGTGCTATTTATGGCCTCGATATTCATGACAATGCTCAGAGCACAAAGTGCACTGGATGACTTGCAGTCCCTGCCCCCTCCCAAAACACATTTCCAGATTCTTGTTTTTAAGTAGATACATATGCAGAGAAGTATGTATTGCAATGAACAGCTTTTTATCAGATTTGGAGATCTATGTTTAAGAGGAGCTTTCTCACAGCAAGACCTTGTTGCTTTCACAACGGGCTACGATATTGACACTGTTCAGGAAAACAGTAAATTAAAATTCAGAGCAAAAGAGCTGGACAGAAAATGGGATAGGCAGCTTCAGGGCCTAATGGTTAGGATGGCACCACTGAGCAAACTCTTCTAACTACAGTGGAGACACAAACATTGGTGGAGAAAACTTGTCTGCCTGAGCTGTAGGTGTAAAATGAGGTCATGTGAGATGCCTCTTAGGAGGCCTGTTTTGCTCCGTTGAATTTCATCTACTGTCTTGGCTTTGCAGCCATCTCAAGATGGATGAGCTGACTCCCAGCCTCTTTAGTTGCAGTTTTATACCATCATCTCTTTCTGCTGTCCCCTGTTTCCAAATGCTGTTTGTTCCTAAATGTCAAAAAAGGTGCGGTCTGCATGTTCTCTAGTTCAGGGGAGGCTGCAGAAGACACCTGTGTCAGATGTGAAACAGCTGGAGAACATTATGGCTGTGTGGTACTGGTGCAAAGTACAAGTTGGAATATTTTAAAATGTAACAAATGAGCTGGTCGTAATGTACATTTGCTTCAGAAACAATTATTGGTGTTTTAAGGGCAGTTTTATTAATACTAAAGTCACTGGGACATGAATTTCTTTGAAAGGTGGAAATACATTATGCAAATTCTCCACCTCTCTTTTTGCAGAGTCACTTTTTGTTCTGCTTCCAAATACTTCATCTGGTGGCAGTTCTTTTCTGAAGAACACTTACAGTCTTTATTGCTCTGAAATATTATCTCTGGTCCCCCCCCCACTCCCCACTAGCTACATTATCAACTCAAGTGTGTCAGACTTTCTCACTTAAGGAAGGACAAATCCCACACTTTTTTTTTTAAATGTTATGGCATTTTTATTAGTGGTCTATTAAAACGAGGCAAGTTTACAAAGAAACAAGAAATCAAAACACCATTTTGTGTTCAGGCTGTAAACTTTCTACATCATTAAATGGTAGCCAATGAGTCCTGTCTTTACAGGGTAATTAAATGCTTTGCTTTACAAGGAAAGCCCATGGAAATTGTTCAGGTCATAGAAAAACAGCAGTTTACATTGTTATGAGGCATTGTAATAAAACTCTAGAGGTGGGTACTAGATGACAAAGCAATACTGGCTCTTAGTTTCAGGAACTTAAGAGAACCTTGAAATTATCCTATCCCTGTAATTTCTTTTTCTTGCAAGTTCTATTTGATTCAGAAAATTACCCACCTGGTTCCCTTTCTACAAAGTAAAACATCCCTCTTTATTTAAACCCCAGATACAGTTTATGCTTGACCTTACTTTCACTTTTTAACATATATCTTTTTCTCTGTCGTGTCTTGAAACAGCACTTACATACTTTATTAAGTGCAAAATCCACAAAGGGGTTTGTTGCAAACCATCTCACAATGGTAAAATGCATCCCTGATTTCCTCTATGTCCCATGATTGGGTTTCAAGCAGGTATTTATATCCACGTATCCACATTTAACCACCTAAGCCAATATGTTTTTATTAAACATTGACCTGTAAGTGCCAATAAAAGTGCATGCAATAAAAGTTAAAATAAAATAAATGTCTCTATGAATTTAATGCTATCACATCTAGGTCAGATGAAACAAACTGCATCATTAAAAGCCAACACTGACACACTGGATCTTTGGAATGACCCTCATTCAGTCCAAAGATGACTTTTTTTTTTCCTCAAAATGACAGGATTTGCCAATTACTCTGAAATTGCATCTAGGCTGTAATGTGTCCAGTGGGTTGGAAATCATGAGCCAGAAGGAAATAAATTGAAAAACAATTGTGCTTTTCATTGTATTAAGCCAAAAATGCCTTACTAAGAAAAGCATGCCCTTCTGGCTAGTTGTTGAACCACTGTGTTAGAAACTTGAGCCAGCTTAGGAGAGTGGTGTCATGCTCCAGTGCTGTCACTCCACAGAGTGGTGTCCCCAGGGAGGCAGGCTCTTCACTGGGCAGATAATGTTTTTTTATAAGACATTGAGTTAAAACCAATCATTTAACATTTACAGTTTTGGTTTGGTTCTTTAAATAATACAACAAAAACATTGGGAAAGACCTTTTATAGCAGCTTTCTTGGGCAGGCTGTTAAGGAGCCACCTGGGCGCCCACCTGGTTCCACAGAAGGGCTGCAGAAGAGTTGTGCCCTACCATGATACTGTTTTACTGTCTGCATGACCCTTTATGGGCCCAAGTCA